TCCAATATCTTGACCTACAACCCTCTATGAAGTTCTGTTAATAAAATGTCATTTGACGATAGTGCCTAAATTAATTTTACAGTAAATTTTTCAATAGTACAACTCCTTACAGCTTTAATTTGAACATATACGAATTATGTGTTTGAACTATTACTTTCATTTCTTTGTAATAATATATAGTAATAGCAGTTCAACTATTATTACATTGAGAATTTATAGGGCACTCATTCATAGATGTTAATTATTGAAAATGACTCCTATGATCCACTTTCAGTCTGATTTAGTTGTTCTGAGAGTAATCGTCGATTTCCATTGTTATAGTTTCCATAAAACTGTCAAACTCTGTTGTGTTGTTGATAAAGTGCATGAGAACTGGTCGTATAATGGTTGTGCAGCCGCATCATGTCACCGTTTGGTTGAAGTTAACGGGGTGTTTACTATTGCAGCAAATGTTACCGCACTACAACTAAAGCTATGAAAAGGTATCCATTAAGACTATTTAGTAATGTCCTAAGTTTTGTTAGTCCTATATTATATTTTATTTCTATCCAATTACATAGATCAGAAGTGTATAAATTACATTCCCCGTTCAGTCATAAGATTTGTTGTATGTATTTTAGTACTCCTAACATTTTGACTTCAATCCACCTCATAGACAGCCTTTGTTGTTATATGTTTGACAATCGCATAAGTAATAGTGAATATTATGGTTGAAAGTGTTTCAGTTATATGCTTCAAATAATTGATGATAATGGATTGTATACTCAACCTTTCTTATACATTTACGGGGAAAGATTAGCAAATCAACCATCATAAAGATGTTCTTGAATTGGTTGTTGAGTAGATTTAATTAATGCTTGTTTCCTCAAATATGAATAGGTACTGTGTTGTCATCAGTGTTAGTGATTACACTGATGCAACAGAGCTAGTGTTGCTGGACTATACGGCAACGAAAATTTTCAATGTTGATGTTGAGGATCTGTTTTCCATGAGTAAAGCTACAACCACTACCAATCTTCCTGCCCACTGTTGGTTGAGCAAGGTAAAGGACTGGAGCTGTTGATCAAGATTTCTGATTATGAGTACTGTCAGAACAGAAGCGTGCAAACGATAATCCAGAGTTCCACAAACGAACACAAATTTTACGTGGTTCACTAACACAGTGTGTGCTAGCTAATCCACGGACAGAGGAGACAAATTTCACTAATTTGAGGAGAGTACAGGTTAGAAACCCAAATTCCAAACTGACAAACCAAACAAACTAACCTGACTGACCTTACTACAGACTAGGGTGATGAAGAGTATTTATAGAACTCTTATCCTAATCCCAAACAGAAAACCAAATACCTTTTCCCAAACATACAAGGAAAAAGGCCAAACCCAAACCCAAACAGAATAGGCCCAAAACACAAAACAAACCCAAATCAAATTCAAGTCATATTCTAACAATCTCCACCTTGACTTGAATTCTCTCTCAAATACCAGATGTACCAGACGCAACCAAAGTTGCCAGATGTAGCCAGACGCAACCAAAGTTGCCAAATGTACCCAACCGCGATACATATCGCCAGACGTATCCAAACGCGATCGAAACCCCCAAACTCAAACGCGATGCAAATCGCCAAACTCATATGCAATCAGAATTGTCAGACGTACTATCCAAATCTGTTGTAACAAAATCTCCCCTGCCTCCAAATGCCCCTAAGGGCGGTCAACAACTCAAACCATTCGGCAAGTCCAACCCATGCTGAGACTTGCCATTCAAAAACAGCTTGGTGCACTTATCACCAACATAACCTGTCAAAACAGAACCTTGTAGATTATACAAGGCACCACGCTTGACACCTTTCAAAATCACCTTAGAACCCTTGTAGACAGACAACACTCCACCTTCACCTTTAAAACTAAAACCCTTGCCGTCGAGTAGACTCAAAGATATCAGATTCTTAGTCATCTCTGGAATATGTCTAACATTGTTCAAGGTGCGAACATAACCATCATGTGTCCTCATCCTGATGGAGCCTCTTCCAACAATCTTACAGATAGCACCATTGGCCATAGAAACATGTCCTCCATCTATCTGCTCATAAGTTGAAAAACAATCCCTGCTTGGACACATATGATAATCAGCTGCAGTATCCAAATACCACACATCCTGATGATGTACCTGCTCATTCACTGCTAAGGCTAAACCATCTTCAGAATCAGAGTTAGTTTCTTCCGCCACAACAGCAGATGATTCCTTCTTCTCCTGATATTTCTTTAGCTTAGGACAATCAAATTTCCAATGTCCTTTCTCCTTGCAGTAATGACAGATATCATCCTTCAAACCAGCAGAATACAAATTTGTATTCGCCAACCCAGATTGTTGTCTCCTACTACTAGTAGCAGCCAACCCAGATGCCTGATTTTCCGAACCTGAACCAGACGCCTTATGTCGAACCTCTCTAGTATGTAGAGCAGATCTGACATCTTCCAAAGACAAACTATCTTTCCCAGCAATAAAAGAATCCACAAAATTCTCATATGACTGTGGCAAAGATACTAACAGAATTAAGGCAGCATTCTCATCATCTATTTTAACATCAATATTCCGCAGATCTAACAAGATGGTATTGAGTTGATCTAGATGATTCCTGAGAGACGTACCTTCCTCCATACGCAAACTGAACAAACGTTGCTCCATATGCAACTTGTTGGTTAAAGACTTTGTCATGTATAGACTTTCAAGCTTCAACCACAAGCCTGCGGCAGTCTTCTCAGTAGCAACCTCAGTGATGATGTCATCAGCCAAACAAAGCAAGATTGTAAAGTGAGCTTTCTCCTCCAAAGTAATCCACTCTTCTTCATCTATGTTTTCCTTCTTCAATTTTCCAGACAACGGAGCCCACAAACCCTGTTGTTTCAACAGTGCTTGCATCTTGATCTGCCACAAACTGAAACTGTTTCTTCCGGAAAACTTCTCAATCTTCATACTGATAGCAGCCATTCTAACTATCAAACAAACTCCAACCAAACTCCACAAAGCAAAACTTCAGTCCAGCGGCAAATTCCCAAAACCGCAACCAAAGGCTCTGATACCACTTGTCAGAACAGAAGCGTGCAAACGATAATCCAGAGTTCCACAAACGAACACAAATTTTACGTGGTTCACTAACACAATGTGTGCTAGCTAATCCATGGACAGAGGAGACAAATTTCACTAATTTGAGGAGAGTACAGGTTACAAACCCAAATTCCAAACTGACAAACCAAACAAACTAACCTGACTGACCTTACTACAGACTAGGGTGATGAAGAGTATTTATAGAACTCTTCTCCTAATCCCAAACAGAAAACCAAATACCTTTTCCCAAACATACAAGGAAAAAGGCCAAACCCAAACCCAAACAGAATAGGCCCAAAACACAAAACAAACCCAAATCAAATTCAAGTCATATTCTAACAAGTACTCCCATCCTTCAAGCAACCTCAGTGTGCTAAGAATTGTTGAAGAAATTGACCTAGAAACTATTGGTGCAATGGAATGCCCGGAGCACGTTAGGGACAGTGAGAAGGTATTTTTACCAAGAGTTATATTTGCATGTTTTATTTGAATTAAAGTCTATGCTTTTGTCAATAAGTTTTTATAAGTTTTTGAAACACTTTCTTCATTATCTAGAGCTTGGAATCGACACTCCGCACTCTTCTTGCCAATCTATGACTACCACTGCTTCCTCCAGTCAATCACCACATGTTGCCGAGAAGAAGGGAGGACGCCTGGGTGCTTTTCAAAAGGAATTGCCAAGTCCTGAAACCCCAAGTTCCTTGAAAAGAATGATTGATGATGTCGTTCCCTCAGACGACTATTCAAAATAAAGTGCTTTAATATCTTACGTGAGATGGAGTCTGATACATTGGTGGAATGTGGTCCGGTTTTTTAAATTAAGGGATTATTCTTCTGGTTTGTTCCTTTGGGATTTTTTACAATGCATTTCTTCCTTTAGTACTGAATTTGGTTTGGGGGTTTGTTTCCCCTGTCACGAAATCATATTTCTTTCTACTTTGCTTTCTGAATGAAAGTAGCAGTGACCTTTTTGTTCATTTAGTGTTTGTTTGGGAAGATTGTTTTAGTTTAGTTGTTTGATATATTTTGTATTTATTTAAAATATGGAATTTATTAGATTGTTTATGCATCTTTCTTCCTCAGCAAAGGCTAATGAAGATGTTTGGTGATTTAATTCAGTAATAACATCCCATGTTTAGTCGCTATCCTACTTTTCAATGTTTGACAGTTTTGTTTATATTCAATTAGAACCATCCTTTTTATGTCCACTGTGGGATGATGTTGACTGTGCGAAACTTTTATTCCCAAATATGAATATTTGTTTCACGTTGATAATATGTATGTTTCAATTTTATTGCATCTAACTAGTGTCCTTTCTTTTAGTATCTACTTTGAATTCGTGGGTGTTTTAGTTATTATAAAATATAGATTTATGATATGACAATCGATCTGTGACATTTGTGCAAGTTAAAGGTGGTACTTTCATGACGAAATTGGTTTCTTTCAATATTATATTATCTCCTTTAGTTTGGTTCCAAAGAAACTCTTTTAGATCATTACAATTTGCAATTTGCGCATGCATTTTTCCATACATGTTATTTAACAGTTTCATCTTCGGTAAACCCTACGGCCGAGAAGGATTATGTAAAAGCTCTTCAATAAGTAAAGACACTGCCCAAATAGGACGGCCTATAAGTTAAAAATATAAATACACAATCTGTTCACAATGAATTTGATTTAGATATGTTATCAAAATAATTTCAAACATTCTGGCAAACGAGCTGGGTTTAAGCTAGTTATGAAATAATGCAGAATTACGCTGGTTCTTCTATTCATGTTTCAATGGTGTTGCTTTTTCCCATCTATGAGATAAATAATTATAAAAGTATGTTCTTTAATGCAAATTTTGTTCCATTTCATATGCAATTTCCACGGCAGGTCTTGAAAAGAAGTCCCCTGTTTTGGATGTTGCCTTGCTTGGTCTACTTGGCTCGTTGACACTGACTTGAGCATTCTTAACCTTTGGGACAACAGTTTTGCCAGAGAATAGAGAGCCATATATTTCAAATTCCAAAGCGGTAAACATTATGATCAAAAGACAAAAGATAGAAACATGGTAGTAACTTGGTAATCAAGCTTCTGATTTCCAAGTCTCATGTCAAACGAAAATTGTACATGCATCTTATGGCTCGAGTTTGTGTTACAAAATTCCAAACTTGCACCTATTCTGCTAGTTATACCATATCACACTCAAGAGTTACTTCCCATCATCCAAGTCTTATTGTTGAAATTTCAGTGCTGGATTAATGTTTAGCAATACTGCATATTGTCAAACTCTATCACAAGAACTTGAGTTCCCGGTCAGTACTTCTAAAAGCTCATCTTCATGCTTCCTAATGCCAGGAGGAAAGACCCATCTTTTCAGAGCAGGTCTTAGCCTGACAAGAACCAGGTACCCGGTAGAGGTGGAAAATCTGCTAGTTTAGGCTATAGCTTCACTTTCCCCTTTCTCTTCGGCTTGGAACACAAGGTTTTCACAAGCTAGCTAGATGATCATCTCATGTTCCTGATAAACAATCCTTTATTATAATCTATCAGGCACCAGACTGTAACTTCATCATCCTCAGAGAAATATAGGCCAAAATGCGGTAGCCAAATACCATGGCAACCAGAGCACACACTTCCTCTAAACCACTGTCGATTCTGGTTCCACCAACAACTGGCATTCTATGCTCGTACTGTACCTTCAAAAGCAGCTTGTACGTGTGATAGTTGAATGACATGTAGCGTATCCAAGATATGAAAACTGGGATTCTCTGCAGGAAATTTTCAGTGAATAGTTAGAAAAACTTTTCAAGAATTGCTCCACTGTAACCAGATTTCTTATCAAATATGTTCATCCAGTAAAAGGAAAGCACAGAAGATATCATTTCCCTATAGCAGAATATGGATGATGTCGAATCTTGTACTTACATTAACAAAGAAGCCTCCAGCAAGCATGAAGGTCATGACAGTAACTGAAGCTAAAGTAGTAGCCTTCTTCAAGTCCATCAAGCTTGCACCAATGGCGAGTCCAAGCCCCTGCAATTTGCAGCAAAAATAATATCATTGTTAAAGAAATATCTTAGAATTGGGATCGTGGTGGCTTCTTCAATGTCAATTTGGGCTAACCTGAGCTGCAACAATGCAGAGAAAAACTGTGATCATGGTCAAGAAAAAGGGAGCAGCGCCCATTTTCAACCCGGCCATGAAATACACCACCAGAAGGAACAGAACTGGCAAAATCAGGTCCAGTGGAAGATCACTTGTAGTTCTGGCCATGAAATATGCACTCAACCTGTACATATCAGCTGATCTCTCCTTACTCAACACCGCACGTTCTTGAGGGAATGTGAAGATGGCGGTGAAAACCGGGAAAAATCCCCAGAACACAGCGATGAAGAACAACAACCCGGCCTGCAAAAAACCAATTCCATACCACAAAATGGTTTGATCTTTTTCACCTCTGGAGTGTTTTGACTTTCAAAAAAACGAGACCAGGCTTCACCCTTTTTGTTTTTTACCTGATCCTGGAGACCTTTAGGAGAGCTGGTATCAGACTGCCACCAGAGCAAGCCCAATATGGCTGCCGTGGAGACCACCTGTGTGATTCTTAACCAGCTGAAGTAGTCATGGCGGCGCTCCTTGATCCCTCTGCAGAACAGTATATTGTACTGCTCCCACCAGGTTGCTCCCCACAGTCGTTTTGGAGATGAGACTTTCAACTTCACTTCTTCATCTAGAGGTATTGGAGCCAACAGCTTCTTCTTCTCCCTCTTGGCAACTCGTGTCTCGTAGGCCTCCACCAGATACTGATAAGAAAGAAAATTCATTGTCGAAATTCAGCCAAAAGCATTACAATGGAGCCTCCTCCCATAGAAAGGTTGCAACTTCAAATGCCTAGCTACCTCGTAAACAATGGCAGGAGTGGGCTTCCCGTTTCTGGTGTCAGCTTCACCACTCCCCACATGAACTTTGTCCTCCAATTCCGAAGGCACCGAGACATCGTTTATGTTGCCATTAGCGAGATCCAGAAGGAACTCCGCAGGGTTCATCGCTAGGAGAGGGTTACACCCAATCGACGAGAAATATGCCATCACTTCCGACGCTTTCCCGAAGTAGAGCAAGCTTCCTTTCCCCAAAAGCACCAGCTTGTCGAACTTGTGGAACAGCCTGCTGGAGGGCTGGTGAATTGTGGTGACCACCGTTTTGCCGGCCTCTGCGATTTCCTGCAGCATCTGGACGATCCTCAGCGCTGTGGTGGAGTCCAACCCGGAAGTGGGTTCGTCGAGAAAGAGAAGCGAAGGGTTGATGATGATCTCGTTCCCGATCGAGACTCGCTTCCTCTCCCCGCCGGAGACTCCCCGGACGAACGACCCGCCGATGATCGTGTCCTGGCATCTGCTCGTATTTGGTCAAAATTGGGGAGGAAAAAAGTCAACAACTTTTCAATTGAGCCAATTCTTCAGTAGATTGTAGCACTAAGGTTAAATTTTGCTAAGATCCAAGCAACATTGCAGCAAGGTTGCTGATGAGAAAATACCTCTCGAGGCCAAGTTCTTGGATGACATCGATTGCCCGTTTTGTCTTCTCTTCTCGAGTCAGTGAACGCGGCAGTCGTAGAAGGGCAGCATATGTCAGCGTTTCTCTCACGGTTAAATGAGGGAACAAGACATCATCCTGAGTCACAAATCCTATCCTGTGAAAAAACACCGAGTGAAAATGGTTTATCAGAATCCTGATTGATGGGTTGAGTCCGTTGAGACTTGAGAGCTCATTGTTCAAGTTTCAACTACCTGCTTTTGAGGGACTTTGAGTAAGGCTGGTCATTGTAAGTGACTGAGCCGCCCCGGTTATTGGACTGGTTCAACCGCCCGCCCAGCAGGTTGAGAAGTGTGGTTTTCCCACTTCCTGAAGGCCCCATGAGAGCAAGAACTTCACCAGGGTTGACGCAGCCTGTGATTCCGTTCAAGATGTCTTTCTCCTGGGTTGAAGTCATTCCTTTCATCACCACCTTGTATGTCACATCACTGAACTGCATAATCACCATTTGCATTATTGCAAGTCAAGATCCCAAGTTCTACTTACACACAATTCAGGAGACTATTAGTAGATACTTTTATTAAGGTTTAAGAACATGGCAAGAGGGAAAGACAGTCCATACCCTTCTTTCCTTGACTGCAGCTGAACTCAAAAGGACTCAAAAAGAGGTCTAAAAACACTTGGGAAACTGTCTCTCACTCTATACAAACCACCCCCTCCAAAATCAAGCTGCAGAACAACTTCAATGGAAAGAAGGGTCGTTTTGAACATTAGAATGATGAATGAATGAAGAGAGAGTGAGAGTGAGAGGGAAAGACTTGGTATATACAAGACAAGACAATGAGATATATGAACCTGAAGGAAATGCAATTGAGCATGAAATGGTATTTTAATTGGCATTGGGTAGGAAGAAAATTCTTTGTTTCTCCCAATACATAATAAAACTCCCCCACTTTTGCCTATCCAAAAATACAACTGTTGTTTAATCAATTATCAAATCAGCATTCCCCATCATGCAGGAAACTTAGTGTACTAAAATGGACACATGAAAATGGGAATCATAAGCAATGAAGCAGAAAATTGAAAGCCAAGAAGAAAAGAGCAGAAGAGGGGAGTAGAATTCTGACCTTGAGATAAATTGGCAAGGTGGGTTCTGTCTGGAATTTGAGCTTTCCGGTTCCAGCCTCTATATCTTCAGCTGCACAAACCATTTGATAGCTTTCGCTTGGTTAATAATGGCTTATGCAAAATATTCACCAGATGCATGTAAATATGATATATGATCATTTGTTTTAGGCAACCAAAAAGTTAACCCCCACTATTGCAGCTACTGCAATTTGGGCAGAAGGTCAGTTTCGGCGGCAGAGTTTTCAGTACAAGGAAACAAACAGATATGGGGAAACTGATGATCATGACGCTGGTGATAGGCTAAAATGAAGACTCAGTGTAAGAGCATTGAAGCCATGAAGTAGTGGATATTTTCTTCAGGAATGGGATGATTGTGAAGTGACGGGGAAAGTCTGCAGAGTCAAGGATTTTGACCCTTCTTCCAAAACTCCCCATCAGAACAATAATTCATTCTTCCTCGTCTTCAGTTTGGTCCCACTCGTTTGACTTTGGTTTTCATCAGTGTAGTCTGCTACTCTGCCCTGTCTTCCTTTTCCACAATTTCAACTTACTACAATGGGTCCAAATGAGTCGACTTGGTAGCATGTGAAGCATTGAGCAAATGCAAATGAAATTGTATTTCTGTGTTAATAGACAGAATTAGGTGACGATTGTTGCCTAGGACAAGACGGGGACGTAAGAGGATTTGGGAATAAATATATTATTGTAGGTCAATTCTTCTATGAGTGAAGTGAGAAACTAGCAAGACAGGGAAAAAAGAAGAAGATAAAAAGAATGAAGCAAGAATCGAAATGTGCTTGAATCAATCTAGGGTGCTCATAAAGTAAGGATGTGCTTACAAATTACAATGCCCAGAGGGGTTTGATCAGGAGTTGGTCGCTCCTAAATAAAATGTCACATGTTCATTCAACAATTATAAGACATCTAGTGTTTGGTTGGACGACTATAAACATTATAAGCATATACAAAAGGCTATTAGCAAACTTCATAGTCAGATTGGCGTGGAATAGGTGGAATTCGTTAGCATTGAATGGTGATAGGAATGGCAAAAACGACCCACAATTTGAGTATTGTCCAAACACAAATTATTGTCAGGTAAAACTAAAATCACATATGGGGCATACACATACGAACATACCCAACTTTTTAATTTGGGTCTAAATTAGAATCATTACGTTGGATACACAAAAGAACATGGATATCCAACTCTAATGTGATATTTTTCTTCTTCTTTTCTCTTTGTTCTAAAATAAACATAAATGTGAAAACCCCAAGATTGAATGTGTCAATGGGTTGAATGCGCAGACTAAAATAGTCAATATTACCTTTATCGTGTGTATATTTATATAATCCAAATAAACTATGTGAAACAAACGGGTTAACCCAAATTGAAAACCATCTAAACCCAACACAAGCTCAAAATTATTATAAGGGCATATAATAAATCTATTATCCAACCCAATATCCATATTCGTCCTGATAATTAGATCTAGTTACCCAATAAGTATACCCGTTATTCAACGAAAAAAAAAATAAGTATACCCGTTATGGCGTTGTCTAACGGGTTGTCATCCCTAGTTGGCGGTGGCTGGGAATGGACATGCAAGTTGCTGGCTGCCATTGCCAGCCTTCTTTACTTTGTGGAGCGTGTGTTATGTATATGAGATCCAAAGCAAAAATTTCTTGGTCCATATGATTTGGGGGCCCAAGGAAAAGGCCTTATATTTCCAAAAACTTCAATCATTTATATACAACCCGAATGAGAGTGATGACAGAAACAAAATTGACAGACTGTTTATATTTATCTTCCCTAATTTTCTTCAATTCAATCTATCAAATAAAGCCAAGGAGGGGATTGGGAGGGATCGATCTATCTCTACTAACTAACAAGGGAGAGTTTAATTTTCTCTAGTATGTATTGTTTTGAGTAGTTAGTTTGTCCTCAATCCTGAAAACCCTAAACGGCTAAACCCTCTATTTACCACAGCTGAAGACGTATGTCTGTATATGGGATGTAATCAACCTCAGCCACCCACAAGTAGTAGTGGTGGAGGCAGCATTTCAAACCACTCCTGTTTTTTTTTTTTCAGAACTTAAATATATAAGTATCTAATAAAATAATTATTTAATAAAAAAAAATTATATATGAATAATTCATTCATAAATTAAAAATAACCGATTATACAATCGTACTTTTCGGAAACAACTACGAAAGAATTTCAAATAGTGAAAGAAACGCAAAAACATTTGTTGTCTACACTATTATATAAGTTACTTTAATGTATCTTACTAAATAAGTATTAGCAAATTGGTCACCAAATCGACTTGGAAACTTGTTCTTAATATAACTCAAAGCTGAAAATGCTCTTTTTACGCTTGCAGTTGTAATTGGTAGATCAAAACTAGTGGGATTGTCGTAGTCGCTAGACAATTTCAGGGTTGTTGAGGAAAAGATCGAATAGGCATAAGGAGAAAAGAGGCCCGATTAGGTCTTTATTGCAATTGGAATTTCGTTTATAGTATAATAAATTAATTTTATGTTAAATTTGGACAAGTATTGAGTTGTGTTGTAGAGATAGAATATTCTAATACTACCTATAAATGTTGTGTTCCATCACCAATATAAATATATATGACGTATTTTTGTTCCACCGAAATTCACCCTATTTCTGGACAATGCCCAAACGGCTGCCTCCGCCACTGCCACCCAACCATCCACATCGCAATCCTAAAGAGTCGTGGCTTCACACTACTCGTAAAGGTAAAACAAACTAAAAGGCAAACGTGAACTCAATAATTATTTGGTCACCAATAATGATTTCTGAGTAACAACTCCTCAAACTCTATGGTACGTACGTAGGTTGGTGGGCAAGGCATGTAATGTATCTATCTGTCTATGCGTGACACCCAAAATTAAAAGCTAAGCTCCAACCCTCTGTTTCCATCTCACACAAAGGAGCGATTGGTTGAATGCAACAACACAATAGTGCGTGTATAGTTTGATTGAATTGAAGAAAGATCTGTTTAATTTGTTTCCGGCCAAATCCAAACCTCATACGTACGTCGATCCAACCTCCACCACCCATATTTCCTCTCCTCCCCAATTTCCATTTCTCCCCAAATACTAGTATTCACTTTTCCTTTTCATGCCCATACCAATACCATTCCCCTTAATAAATAAATAAATTACTCCCATTCGATAAGCATTGTTTAAGTTATTGCTCAATCTCCTCCTCTCTAATTTAATAGAGCTTCCAAGCAAACCACTAAGAAATAAAAAGGGTCATATAATTCATCTCGCCGTGAACTAAAAGTGCTAAAAGAAACGGCAAAAAATACAGTGATTAACCGTTCTAGCGATCAAACTCAATTGAAAATTGTATCTTTTACTATGATGTCTATATAATTTTGTAGCCTAGCTTTGGTATATATTTAGAAGCAAGGTATTTGTTGGGGTTTTTTTTAGACCTTTTAGGTTAAGATTGATTTGGGTTATATATATATCATAATGCTATTAATTTTGCACCCTTTTTTACCCAAAAAAAATTCATTTAAAATTCGTATCTTTTTTCCATTTACAAACCTTCACAACATGCTCCCTTTTTCCCCGATGATGAACTATATTGTGGATTTCGTATGGTCAGTTGGATAATTATATTAGTTTCGTCCCTATTGAACAGGATGGTTGTGGCTAAAAATGAGATAAAAACGTAATATGGGAAATATAAGGAAGAGAAGGCGGGAGGCGGACTTACGGATGTCGTCGTCGCTAAAGGGTTTGGAATCGGCGATGATGTCGTCGGGGGGCATGTTGAAGCCCGTGAAGGAGAAGGAAAGCCCCAAGCTGGCGCTGGAAGCTCGGCTGAGCGCCGCCCCGCTGCTGATCATCTCCTCCACTTCGAACTTCATCTGCGCGCTCCGGGACTTGCGGATGTGCGTGTTCTTGCCGCCGCTTCTTCCCGGCGACGCCCCCGTCATCCTCCGGCTCGACCTCCTCGACGCTCCTACGCTCTCCGACACCTCACCGCTCCCTCCTGACCCCGCCGCCACCGACGACGGCGGGGACTTGAACGCCGCCGCTAGTGTCTCCACCAGTTGGTCCGATTTCGTCCTCACCAATCCCGACAAGCTCGTCGCCTTCTCCATTTTCGGTCACTATATGTAAAAAAAGAAAAAAATACAAGAAAATAAAATACCTCGAAACATAAAATATATATGTACATATTTGTTTTCTATGAGATGATTTCGCGATTAAAAACCTTGGGTTTCTGGTATCAGGAATCACAAAAGGAAATGATGTGTTGGAGCGAAATGCTGCAAGTTTGTCCAGGTACCTTGCTCTCAACGGCGGCACTGCCTTCTTATAAAGGCAAGGGAAGGCAGGGCCAGGGGTGGGATGTTAAGTGGGGCAAGTGAACTCCACTAATTATTTTGTGGGTTACCAAAAATACCCCTGCACCTTTTCCCCAACCACAACTTATAATAATGCCATTTACTGGCAAAGTGGTTTTTTGGATAGGTAGGTTGGTCGTTGCTCTCGTTGGTATTTCCCTTTTTTGTTCAGCTTAATTAGTATATATGTTCAGCACAAGTTATTCACCCACGAAAACTACCACTAACTGTATTCTATAATTAGTGATTTGTTTTATGAGGTTTCTGGTCTGCATTAAGAAACTTGTGCTCTACTTTGATAAACTTGTGTTTTGCTTTATGAGGTTTATGGTATGCTTTAGTGAACTTGTACGTGGTTAACTTTAAGAAACTTGTGGTATGCTTCAATAAATTTGTTGTATATAACTATATATGCTTTATGAGATTTCTTGTCTGCTTCAGGAAACTTGTGGTATGCTTTATGTGGTTTCATGTATGCTATAAGAAACTTGTGGTCAATTTTAAAAGGTATCTAGTCTGCTTCAGTGTACTTGCGTTATGCTTTATGAGATTTATTCTATGTTTTAAGGAGCGTATGGTCTGGTATGAGTTTTTGTTATATGTTTTATGAATTTGGCGGCACGGTGAGGTTTTAGTATGCTTTGTAAGGTTTATGGTTTGCTTTATGTTACTTATGGTTTTTTTGTGTGTTTCTGGTCTATGTTTTGTAGTCTGCTTCATGATACTTGTGGTAAGGCGACAGACACATAATTAATGACCAGCACCATATAGGTGTGTTCATTTATTTTCTAATAATGACGAGCATGTTTCATCTCTTTACAAATATGCATTAATTGTGGTCAACCTCATAAATATTAAAAAAAGTCATAAAAAATGTTCCTATTAGCTAGACCTAGTGTTAGCATAATGCTAATAAATTGGGTCTTAGCACTCTAAACTCTGGTTGGATTTATAATTTCAAATTATGGTCACATAAGCAATATTCTTATGATCACTATTACAAACTTATCCACGGCACTATGACACTAGACTGGTACGTAACATGGACATAATAAGAGCACCACTATTATCAGTGCGTAGCCAGGATTTTATTCAAGGGGGTGCCATAAAAAATTTATATATACAGTTTCATATATTATTAGTGGCGTACCCAGGATTTTATTCAAGGAGTGCCATAAAAAATATATATAAGGTTTCATATATCAAATTGTGAAATTATTCTAAAATTATATGAATCGGCCAAACTAACAAGATTTCTCTCACCAAATAATCATTCACAATTTCAATTCACTTGATGCAAAAAGGCTAGTCAATTGTTTCACTGCATAAAATGTTATTAACTTGTCCATTGACAACTGGCCGTAGCAAATGAAATCATTTATGATATCTGATTCTTTATGATAAAACCTGAATTGCACATAATTTTAATTATTTCGGTCAAGATAATTTCTAAAACCACGAGTCAAACTTAATTATTTGGGAATAATTCGGGTCATAATAAGGTATTTATCTATATATTTTTTATCACTCATATAATAATTCCCCGTCCATGATTATTATTCTTTGTGGTTGTAGTTAATTAGAACAGTAAGCATCAATCGCGTTCATGATGGATGTGTATATAATATATATATAGTTATTCAATCGGCCGTACACGTGTCCGCGTTCCGAACTGAGCTGCATATAGGGATCGCTGGCCGGCGATTGGTATATATATGTTGGAAATCCGTGCAGGTCCTACGACAGTACGTTACGTAGTAGGCTACAACATCTAAATAACTCAACTTGTACATGTCGTAATGTCCGGCTTAAGCCGATCGCCGTACACGTGTCCAGTACTCAACCACGTACAGTCCAGTAGTAGCACAATCATGATATCTGATTCTTTTGCCTGCTCGATTGATCTTAACCATCTCTTGGTAGCTCTGTTTTAGGATGTTGGGAGTTGTGGGAAGGAAAGGGGAAATTTCTTCAGGGCTTACATTTCTTAGCTTGTCAATTTTGGCTCTCTCGATCTGCAATATATGGACAAGATAAGTGAGGGAGGGTACTTTTGCTATTGAATGAAGGAGTCGGATGGTTTTTAATAAATACAGCTGATTAAGATTTGCAGCCGGGCCGGGAATTGATGGTGCCGGAGGAAGCGGCCAGGACTTATCTTTTTCTTTTTTTTTCTTTTCTATAAATGTGTGTTGGAAGCATATGCTTGGAAGTATACTCCGATGGTACAATATGCTTTGCTGTTGCTGCAGGATCAAATCTATAACGATGATGAGAGATAATGACATTAATGAAAGAAAGCAAAAGGAGGCAGTGTGTGACCAACTGGCAACTGACGATGATGCTTGCACGGTAACAGTCGTTGAATCTAATAAGAAGCTAGCTAGTACGTGAGGCTGTGGTTTGAGGTTAGGGTTACCTGTTGAGGAGGGCATGCAAATTTTTGGCCGCACCTACGTAACGTACTACCGCCCTTTTTCTCGATCCATCCATCCACCGATCAGCTGAACTAATTAGCTGTTCCTCTTTGGAATTTTCTCATCATCATCTTCCAGTCATCCACACATTTTGGCGCCACTATTAATTGTTTTTGTTGTTTTCCTAATCCTTTTTAATTACTCTTCTATAATATTTGTGACATCAGCTTGCCACAAGGATGATGTCTACAATATATGAGCAGGAAATGTTTAATATGTGTCTTCAAATTAGCATATTCTTGTCAACAAGCACCTCATAAGGGCTTTCGTTTGCACAGGTCTGAATACACGATGTCATGTGCTTCATAAATGGGAGTCACCAGAATTCGAACACAAGACGTCTCGGTCACATGAGGCTCTGATACCATGTCAAGAACCAGTTGGTCCCAATAACTCGAATTGTTGGGAGAGGTTCAATCGTGGATCATATATCATTCACTAACAATTCTTTCATTGAGTTTAAGTTGATTAAAGCCTAGCTCACTGGAAGCCTACTCCTAAAATTAACTGTCAGAACAGAAGCGTGCAATCGATAATCCAAACCAACACGAACGAACACAAATTTAACGTGGTTCACTAACACAATGTGTGCTAGCTAATCCACAGGCAGAAGAGAACAAATTTCACTGATTTGAGGAGAGTATAGGTTACAAACCAAATTCCAAACGGACAAACCAAACAAACTAACCTGACTGACCTTTTTCTACAGACTAGGGTGATGAAGAGTATTTATAGAACTCTTCTCCTAATCCCAAACAGAAAACCAATTACCTTTTCCCAAACATACAAGGAAAAGGTCAAAACAAAACCCAATCCCAAACCCAAACAGAATAGGCCTAAAACACCAAACAAACCCAAATCAAATTCAAGTCATATTCTAACAATCTCCACCTTGACTTGAATTCTCTGTCAAATACCAGATGTACCAGACGCAACCAATGGTTTCAGATGTACCAGACGCAACCAAAGTTGCCAGATGTACCGAAACGCGATACATATCGCCAGACGTATCCAAATGCGATCGAAACCGCCAAACTCAAACGCGATGCAAATCGCCAAATTCAGATGCAATCAAAATTGCCAGTCATAACAAACTCTCCAAATCTCCAAATGTGACAAAATCTCCTCCAAACCAGTTGTACCATAATCTCCCCTGCCTCCAAATGCCCCTAAGGGCGGTTAACAAATCAAAACATGCAGCAAGTCCAACCCATGTTGGGACTTGCCATGCACAACCAACTTGGTGTTATTTCCATCGATAACACCAACATCATATTTACTTCCAACTCCAAACCTGCAACTCCAAATTGACTTCTCGATCTTCAAATCCATAGAGCAACAATTCAGTTCAGCGCCAAATTCCCAAAACCACAACCAGGCTCTGATACCACTTGTCAGAACAGAAGCGTGCAATCGATAATCCAAACCAACACGAACGAACACAAATTTAACGTGGTTCACTAACACAATGTGTGCTAGCTAATCCACAGGCAGAAGAGAACAAATTTCACTGATTTGAGGGGAGTACAGGTTACAAACCAAATTCCAAACGGACAAACCAAACAAACTAACCTGGCTGACCTTTTTCTACAGACTAGGGTGATGAAGAGTATTTATAGAACTCTTCTCCTAATCCCAAACAGAAAACCAATTACATTTTCCCAAACATACAAGGAAAAGGTCAAAACAAAACCCAGAGCCAGCGAGCTACAGTAAACGAAATATATTCCAAGGGATGATATCGTGGTGGATGAAGAGTTCTCGGCGGGATGTGATTGTGGTGGAGGAGTAGTCGGGGTAACTGATGTGGAGCAGCGACGATCATGGTGGAAGAGGAATTGTGATATCGGATCTCAGGTGCATGGATCGTGGTGGAAGAGATTATGGTGATAAAGAGAAAATCAATGTTAGCACCGGGAAAGTTAGTAATTGATAATTGGGTAAATACAATTTAATATCCAAACCTTTCATTTTAAACAAAATAATAACCAAGCCTTTTCGAAAACAATCTAATATCCAAATCGTCAACTTTCCTTTCGTTTGACCGTTAGTTGACACTTCAAAAAAGGTTTGTTTAGGAGAAATTGTCACAATACAACTTTGTTTTTTTGTTTTGGCATTGCAGATGACTAAATATTTAGATATTCTATACCATCATGGTGGAGTCATGGACTTCTCGGGATTGGAACTACGATATGTTGGTAGTTTTTCAGAGAAGACATCGATGGATATTGATGAAGTGTCGTACTTCGAACTTTTTTGAAGTGTCAACTAACGGTCAAACAGACAGAAAGTTGACGATTTGGATATTAGATTGTTTTCGAAAAGGTTTGGCTATTATATTGTTTAAAATGAAAGGTTTGGATACTAAATTGTATTTACCCTTGATAATTTAACTGTTAATGGTTATAGAACTATTCATAAGATATAATATAAAAGATATACAATACACTAATTTAGGAGTGTATTTATCACTAATCATAAAGAACATCCAAATCCATATCAT